GAGCCCTGACTGGGAACGGGTCTCCCGGCAGCGCTGCCTCGGTTTGTAGGTACGGGAACCGCAGCTGGGCTCTGAAATCGAGGGATGTGTTAAAACTAGCCGGACTCTGCGGCAGTAAACTTATTCCTGTAGGTTCTTCCGGCACGTCTCCTCTGCAGGAAGAATGATGTCCGAAAGCAGCTCCTTCGTGAAGGGCCTGGTGCTGGGGGGAGCCTTCTGCATGGTGGTCACGCTCCTGGGACACATCAAGGTGGGGCTGGGCACTAAGGGACATCACCACGAGCACCACCACCTCCAGGCGCCCAACAAAGAAGACGTCTTAAACCTCTCGGAAGCCGAACGCATGGAGCTTAGTAGAAGTATCCGCGTTTATTGTATCATCCTTGTGAAACCGAAAGATCTGGGGCACTGGGCTGCCGTGAAAGAGACGTGGAGCAAGCACTGCGACAAGGCGGAATTCTACAGCTCCGAGAACATCAAAGCCTTTCATTCTGTAGCCCTCAACACAAATGATATGTGGTCAATGATGAGAAAAGCTTACAAGATAACGTATGAACGCTATAAAGATGAATTCAACTGGTTCTTCCTTGCATATCCAACAACGTTTGCTATTGTTGAAAATCTCAAGTATTTCTTACTGAAAAAAGACCCCGCACAGCCTTTTTATATAGGCCACACTGTGAAATCTGGTGACCTTGAGTATGTAGATGGCGAGGGAGGAATCGTCTTAAGCATTGAATCGCTAAGACGACTCTCCCGTGTTCTTGAAGACCCTGACAAGTGTCCGGAGCAGGGAGGTATGATTTGGAAACTCGCTGAGGATAAACAGCTAGCAATCTGCCTGAAGTACACCGGCGTGTTTGCTGAAAACGCGGAGGATTCGGAAGGAAAAGACGTCTTTAACACTAAATCGGTCGGTGCTCTCATTAAGGAAGCGATGTCTACTCACCCTCAGCAGGTGGTGGACGGCTGCTGCTCCGACATGGCCATCACGTTCAGCGGACTGGCCCCAAACCACATGCACGTGATGATGTACGGCGTCTACCGGCTGAGACCCTACGGCCACACGTACGACGACGCCCTGGTCTTCCTTCCGCCTCCAGGCTCGGACAACGACTGAGGTCTCCTCAGAGAAAGCCTGCAACCGTGGGGTCAGCTCTTCTCATGACATGCATTTCTACTGACAGGAGTCGGGTTTTGTATCTGGCGGTACTGGTGTACAGGTGGTTTTTTTTTTGCACATTGAGGTTTGGTAAAGCTCTTAATTTTAAAAATGGAAGGAGAACTCTTTTCTAAATCTTTTATACAGAAATGCTTCTGGCTTTTGACAGTGCTGGAATGAAATGACGAAGTTGTTACAGTTTATGATAAAAGAAAATTAAGTTTATATGGGGAGTTTGTACATGTAAATATTTATTAATGAAAACTCAAATGAACTTTAGTCTACTGTTACAAATATATTTTTGCAAGACTTTGATTCTTTCAATTCCTCCAGGCATTTCTAGAATGTCTTTATATCTTTCTAAGATGTACCAATAAATCCGACTACAGATTCAGTCTCAAACACTAACTTCAAGTTATGTCCCTTGCACTAAACTATGCAATAGCTTGAGCTCTGCAGCACCTATCGCTTTATGTAGAGCCTGCTCACCGAGCGAGGAATGAGCAGGAAGCAAGCAGACAAAAGAGAGCTGTTAGGAAGTTGCAGCAGAGTAATATCGAGTGACCTTTGGACTGCTGCTTTTAAGCAGACAAAAGGAGGAGATAACTATATTTGAGTAGGTATTACCATGGTCAGGTAGCCTGTAATTGCTCAGTGCTAATAGTGTTTACAAGGAAGAATTTCGTTAACTGTCAATCCAAATGTCCTGCAGTTATATTTACAGGTATTTCTAACACCAAGAGATGCTTGCACTCCCAACCCTTCTTTGAGCGTTATGCAAAACAGGTTACATGCACAACAAGGCAATCTGTGGTACTCTCTACTACTTGTTGGGGGGGTGTTGTGGGGTGGGTTTTGGTTTTATGGTTGGTTTTTTGGGGTTGGGTGGTTGTTTTACAATTGAGTGCTCTTGAACTCAGTTTTATACAAGTTACCAGGTCATGCTGCCTTCCAGTCACAGCAAGCAGGAACAGGAATAAACAGCACTTTGGTTTACTCCATTTCGAATTCACCAACCTGGATGTTCTAAGACTTAAGGAAGGTAACTACGTCTGTCTGCTACATCGAGGACCAGCACAGGCTTTGCTTGCACTGCAACACCCACCAAAGACCAGAGAAGATAACACATTCTCTCACCTTTCTTTAACAGACAGTTTGTAACAGCTCATCCTATCCCAAGCTGCCAGGGGGCAGGTGGGGAAGTGAAACTGCTGCTTCAGAGCTGGTGAGAATATCCACATCCTCTTTGTTTTAAACATCAGGTCCTTTGCTTTTGACAAGAATGGTAAGCCCGCTGCTCAAACCCCCAAGCCAGCTACCAGAGCTCAGCTGTTTCAGAAGGGGTACCTTGTCTCCTGTTTTGCACTTTCTCCTGCTCTGTCAGAGCTCAGCTGACACAGCAAGACAAACATGTACGTGTTTTTTGCTGCCAAAACTGAGATAAAACCTAAGTTAGTATTTTTGACAACATTTTGCTAAATTTGTATACAAATTAAGCATGATTTAACTTGTGTCTTACAGAAATCACTTTTAAAAGGTTAGATCCACAGTTGGGAATAACTCTGACAAAGCTAGACAAAGTAGAATTTTGATGTCAGTGGTGTTTCTGATATTTGAGGCAGTTCTGATCCCACTGCAACAACAGCAGCCACAGGGCAAGTCAAGGAAAAAGAATGGGAGTTAATGATTCAAACCAGAATAAATCTCATTTATCACAGATTTCAGAGGTTCACAATAGGAGGAGACAAGATGGAAGGGGGAAGCAAGTCACAGGGCTCAAGACTAGCTAGTTTTATGCAAAAGAGAACCACTGAAGCACAAACTGATTCCCCGTAGCACTAACAAGAAGTGAGTACATTTATAGCAGAGCCTTTAAGATGCATGAAAATATCCATTAGCATGCTGAAGGGAAGGTCTGAGGTTTGACCAAACTTTTACACTGCTGTAATAATTAGTTTTTGTCTTCCTACATTAATAGATTTACTCTGTCATTCTCAAAAGTACAATCTTGTAAACAATTTTACAGGAGATATTTAAAAGTAGCACATATTGGGTAATACATTCCATCCCCCATGTCTTAATTTGACTTTAGAATCGGATCAACCCCTCTGCCACTACTGTCTTCTGTAAAGGTCCCCAAGTGGGAGCAGCACCAAGACAAGGCACTTGCATACAAAACTACATTCTGCCATTATAAAATACAAGTGTTAGAACCGAGACCTGAAATATTAATAAATACTTCCAGAGACACAGAGTTATGAGTGGTAGACCTTTAAGCTTCCTTAGTTTATTAAATGATTCCATGGCACAGGCTGTTTTCCATTGGCATAGCTTTGGGTATGTGGTCACTGACAGAGCTGGATTCTCCAGACAGAGTGCTCTTTAACCCGTTCCGTAGATGTACATACACATGGCAGCGTGCGCCAGCTGAGACCTCTTTGGAAGTTCCACCTGAAGAAGCTGCTCCTGGCTATACTGATAACCATGTTTTGCTATCATGCCTTGTTAAACAGTGACTTTGTTTCTGCTCCTAAAATACGAAGGCAAACAGGGAGTAGAGCATCAGGCACCAAGTTAGCACACACTCCATTTGGAGTGTGCCCACCATTACTATAAACTCCATTGTAAGGAGAGTGATATCAAACAGTGTTGGCAGGTAGAAATTTGAACATACATATATCCTTCGGGTATGAACTAGCATAAAGGAATTTCTAGTCCACATACCAGGTAAGTTCATAAATCCTGTACAGATAAATGCATATTAAAAAGAGAAAATCCTTAAGTAAAATACTGAAGTTAATGCTGTTAATAAATTAAGTTAAAAAATAAATGTCAAAAAAAACTGGTTTCTCCACATTCAAGAAAGGGGTAGACTAACAAGATGTTAATCAGAAGAAAAAAATCTGAAATGTGTCAGCAGTTTTATAAACCGTATTAATTATCTTTCACATACACTTTATATTACTCTTCTAGAAGAGCATAAAAATGTAAACATTTCTTGGCTTTTTCCTCCTTTTTGTTTGAAATAGTCTACTCTCGGTCCATGCAGGATCTTTCCAGACATCTTCAGTTACTGAAGACTTGGGTTTAAGACAAAACAAAAGAACTGTAATAAAAAGAAATCTAGAAAACTATTGTAGCCTAACAGTACTTTCGCATTCACTTGATTTATTTAGCATAGCCACAGAACAAAATAATTTGTACATTCAGTCACATTAAAAACAAGGAATTACAAAGCAGTCCACATTTAATCTAAGTGCATTCCTTTGGAGTAACACAGTTCCTTTTGTTTCACTTGTATGTCTTCATATGCCAAAGGCCATCATTTAAATAGTGGATATTTTCGATACCAATCCCTTTGTTGACCTTCTCACTGTAGAAGGAGGCAAAAGGTACAGGAGTATTAGCTCGGTTAAATATTAGAGCAGTACAAAATACAATATTTAAAGTAGAAAATGCAACATCTGTCAACTGAAAGGGGAGAAGCTATCATCGACAAAGTCATAATCTTCAACAGCAGGTGGACAAGAAACAGTATTTGTTGTTACATGTACCCACCTTGCTGCCTGATAAGATTATGTTATTTGCCTTCCACATTTTGTCAACAACCTTCCACAATATTGTGAACGACTTCATTGTGGGAGGCAGTTCTTCAGACAACACTTCTGCTGCTTTTCTTAAGCTTAGCACTGCTCTATCAAAGTAGCACAGCAGTTATAAGTGACTCTCCCCCTCCTAGTGCAGGCGACATGGCTGGAATGTAGCATTTGACACGTTCTGGGTCCAAGGGTGACAACTGAATGCAGGTGAGCTGCTTCGCTGCTAGTAGTGAGACATCTACCCACTCACTAAAGAATTACAAATGCAAAATTTATGTGCCAAGGACTTGCAGCATGTTACAGACTTACTATCCTTCTGTATCTTTTGAGTCATGTCATCTTTAAAAATGGTTATTTTGTGCATCTGCATTGGATTTGTGTTCATCTTTTTTCCAGTGTATTATTCCATGGAAAAATCTAGTTTCATAACAAACAAGACAAATCTCATCATTCTAGGACTGAGAACAAATTTCATTCCGCTGGAGAATATAATTTACTGCATTTACACTAAGTGTTCCATTACTTACACAACTTGTTGAAAAGTAATCAGGAAGTAAAATACTGCTCTGTAACGCCATTAACACATCTTGTATCATAATCACACCGAACGACTCAAACCATATTGTTTCACAATTTTCTGTTTTAAACAAAGCACACAAAAAAGCGTGCTAACAGGCTGCATAGATCAGTATAATTTCATTTTCCTCTCCAGTTCATGTTGCTTCTCCCAGGAACAAGGTATTCAGCTGCAAGGCTGCTGAGTCCGAAGTTAGGGTTGGGAATACAGATAACCTTGGTTTGCAGCGATCACAGCAGATCACTGCAGATGTAGGACTGGGACAATAGCAGCTATTCTTTCCACCTACTCTTTCAGTCTTTTGAAGGCGCTATGAAGAATCCTGAGGAACATAGTGCCCCAACAGCTGCAGCATGTCCAAATCCAGGTCGCTGCAGTCCCACTCTATCCCTGTCCTCTGCAACACATTCCCACCTCTCCCCCTTGTGCCACCAGTACCACTTAGTACTGCAGAGCGACCCAGTACAGCAGATGGTCCTGCTGAGAATTATCCCCGCAAGAAAGAGTGACTTGTTCTGCTGGGTGCATCTTACATCCTGCTGCAAGGCGTCACAGAACTCAAAATGAAAAGTGGTTTAGCTCCTTATAATTTGGCACTATCCGAATGCTAAAAACAGCTAACATCCACGTCCATTTTCTCTTCTCCTTTTCAAATAGTTTTTAGTCAATGTTTATCCCCTGAACAGACCTCCACATTTCACAAGAAGCTTAGCTAAGCCAGCAAGCACATCAGGCAGGAGGTAAAGAAAAAGAGGAGGCCACAGAGGAAAGCCCAGCTGGTCAACCAAATATTAGCAGGACTTCAGTCTCTGCTGTCCCTGCAGACAAAAATCCCTTCAACATTTTCAACCCCTTCAAATCCAGATTATATGTCTTGCCCAGCACAGGTAATAAGTACTCTATACAGGTACTTCTTTGTTCAGCAAGATCTTTGAGAAAGTATTATCAGAAAGCAAGACATACTAACAGAGGTAGTACTAATACTGTGCACCTTAAAATCCATATTCACATGAATGAACTATTTTCATTCCATTTGGTAAACAAATAAGTAGGGAAGATATTCCCTGCCTCCTCTTCTTTCCCTGAATATTAATCAACAAAACAAAGTCTTAAAATATTCTGTACTTCAATGACATATGCTGCAACAGTGATGCAGTAACCTTGACGGTGGTGCTTATATTCCGAACTAACACAGGAATAATGACGTGGGACAGGTTATATTTCACTGTTTAGAACACTTACATGTCCTCAGCTGACATCTTCATTACTCCCACACATAATGCATGTTGTTTTCCCTCTGCCATTATTGCCTACAAATTACCACTAAGGAAAACAGATTTTTTTTTTTTAAACAAAAACTATTTCAGAAAAGTAAAAGTAATATGAGGAAACCACTTTCCAAAAAGTTTCAAAATTCCATGTTGAACTTTCACCCTTTTAGTAATTCTAGAGCTCTAGCTCTTAAAAGATGAGCAAAATAATGCGCTCCATTTAACAACTGAATCACAGTGTGTAGAACAAAGCATGTATTTATGAACTTTAAACAGCAATTACAGAAAACGATCTCCCAGCACTACACTCCATTTCTTCCTTTGTGCCTAACACTGAAAGACCATAGTCTTACCCTTTCTGTAAGAAAACTGCAACTGTATGTGGGGCCATTTTAGATTCCAAGGTACAGAAGAACTGAGACAAATCTAAAAAAAAACAAGTACTGAAATCAGACCTGTCCTTTTCAAAGCTTAGCAACATGTGATGCTAACTGCTGATCTTCTCCCATAGCATTCTAACTAACAAAAGCAGCACAGCTTGGTATTATTAATGCTGTATTTGCTCAGGATTCCTTTCTCAGTAATACAATAAGCAGGAGTGAATTAGCATAATTTACCCCCTTTACATGAGCTAATTAGCAAGTCCTGACTACAGCAAAGCCAAACCTAAACATCCTTCCAAATTCCCTAAGAACAGGAGCAAATTCTTCCATAACTGAAGGAGATACAAGACTGATTCAGGAGGCAGGGGACAAATTACGCTGTACCTCATCTATTTTTGCAGTTCTAGGAATAGTTACTTGGTTTGGAACATCACAGTAAGTAAAAAGAACAAATTAAGAACAATTTTAACCTTGCCAAATAACATCTGAACCTCTGCAGCTCTTTTCAGATTACTAGTTATTCCACGAAATACCATTAAAATCTAAAGTAATTTGGATTATGATCAGCTGAGAACACAAGAACAGAAATTTAACTCATCTCACAGCAAGCAGTAATTCATAGTTAAAGAAGGATACAACAACAGTATCAACGGCAGCAGGGTAAAGTTTTGCTCCAGGAGACGTCAGGCCGGGGCACATTATATTAGCTCCACTTAGTACAAATTTAATGGCGCCTTTATCAACCTGCTGATGTGGTAGAATAAATGGGTCTAGGAGGGGAAAGATACAGCATTATAATTAATACAGTAAGATGAAAACATCAATAACTCATTATCAAGTCAGTTTAGATGGGACAATTATGATATACAGTGTGCTGTGAGGGTAGGAAGTTTGAGAAACAATTACCAGAGCTCCTGCTGGGCTGTACTGTCCCAAAAGGACACAAGCACTGTCATCCCAGACCACATCTTTTACCCGAGAACCGAAGTGTAATCCAACACTAGGCCTATGCCTCCTGCATACTCATACACCAAGTACCAATTTTAACAAGTTCCTCTAGTGAAAACAATCACGCACGTGCCAACATATCAAGAGGTCTTACAACCCTCAAATGACATGGATGTCTCAATGTTTGGAATACTTCAAGGTGCATGCCTTTTTTCCTGTTAACATTAAACTGTTTCATGTAAGGCAAAGATGGACAAAATTCATGAAGGCTGTCAGCTTTCCAAGCCATTCTTCAAGCACATGCACCTTGAAGTATTCCAGACATTGAGATTTGATTGAAGAACGTTTTTACAGACACTTACACTCACCCAAATCAGAATAACACAATCAAGTAGAACAGTGAGAACAGCAAGTGCAAGAGATAAAATTGTAAAAAGCATGCAGCACAAATTCTTACAGGAGACAAGCACAAGTCATTAAACTCATGATTAAAGAATATTCTTCTAGTAAGAACCTACAAGGGTTTGGAAGGAAGCAAAAAGGGTTTAAAGGAAGACGAAAGAACAAAGATAGGGGCTAATAACAGCAAACTTAGATCTCTATCCTAGTGAAACCTCTGTCAAGAATTTTTGCAGAATTTTGCACAGTTTAATTCTTAGAAATCAAAGCTCAGATTGCTTAACATACAGCATTACAATAAGTATGCGGGGAAGCAATCCATATACAGGCCCCTGAAATAGCAAAGCAGTAAGTTATAGTTGAGAACGTATACTACATCTTCAAGATCTATTCTGGGATATATACATGCATGTAAGTAGTAAGTTCTTTTTAATTCCATTCTACAAAAGTCCTGCAGAATCACGCACTCACCACTCTCTCCCCACCACTACTGTCCTCAGGAAACTTACATTTGTGAAGCAACCTTAGTGTCGGGTAAAAAATCCCTTCTCTTTGCCTGAAGAACAGCAACTCCCCATTCACAGTGAGGATTTCTATATGTTCATGACTGCAAGATTAAAAAATATATTATTCCACTAGTTACTTTACCTGTTTATAGTTTAAGTGAAACACTTCACAGAGCCTGGTCTATCTCAGCATTTGAAAATTAGAGCAATCAATTAGCAAGAAAACTTAAAACTATAAATACTATCTTTTTTACACCTTGTTTTCAAACACTGGCCTCCTGCACACTTCCCTCCCCCTTAAAGAAAAATAAAACTACAGACAAACATCCAGCTCTTCACAAACTGCATTTCTTTGGGTTTTTTAAATGCAGTATAAAGACTGGACAAGGAGAATGAATCAACAAAAAGAGACTGCCATCTTTTTAAAAAAAGAAAATAATCCAGATAACATATGGAAGTCCCAAAATAGTACAAAAATGCTACTGGAAGCTATCCAAAAAAGTTTGAGCTTCCACATCTACAAATCTGAACACTTCCCTTCAAAAACAGGCAGATCCCCAGAGAGCCTCCAAATATGCTGCATGTTCACTAGCAGGCAGCATTTTTGTTTTCCTCCCACATCCTACTAGCACGCCTACAAGAGCACGATGAGCACATGCAAACTTTCTGCTTTGGCCATAACACTGAGTATTATTTGTAAAAACACCAAGTTCATCTACTATACAAAATGAACATATAAAGGAAACAATCCTATCACCTTGGAAGCAAAGGTCAAGAGAAAAGAAACTTACCATCTCACTATTTTGACTGGGTCTTTCTTTGGCATTATTTGGTTTAGCCATGGTTCAATAACAGGAAACTGGTCTATCAGCTGATTCTTAATACCTTTAATAACAGAAGTCTTCAGCTGGATGCAGTTTGATACATTCTCCTTTTCATCAAATCTGTGAGTGAAAGTATTTCAGAAATGCACAATCTACTGCCCCAAAGATGCCGCACCTCAGCAGCGTTCTTCAGAAGCGTTTACAACTTCTCTGTAATAGCAGCACCGCTTCCATCCAGCTTTCAAATCTAGGATTTCATGAGGCTTAAACTTGCCCCCAGGGAACACTGGGCTGGGGGATGGCAGGGAGGCTCCCACTAGCACGCTGCCTTCGTTCCCCAACTTTACGTACGCCCATAAAACACCTTTTTGGCCTCACAGACGCACCCCGGCAGGCAGCGTTACCTCACCCAACTCGCAGGCTTCTCTGGCACCACCAACCCCTACGGCCCCACTCAGATGTATGCACAGGAGCCTCCAGCTCCCCCACAGACGCACGAACCGCGCTTTGCGCTGCCCCAAAGCTCACACCGCTTAACGACTCTGGTTATTTTGGAGTATTTTCCCTTTAACGAGCACGTGCCCGGACAGCGCAGGCCCCCGCGCTGCCCCAG